CATGACTGTGTAGGGATTTGTTGTTGTTGTTTCTCCTGCTTGGTTTTTTCTTAGCTTCTTGGATCTGTGGTGGGGTTTGTCATTCATTTTGAAAATATTTAAGTAAATAATGTCAGCCATTATTTACTTAAATATCCTTTTGTTTTGTTCTCTCTCTCTTTTCCTTCTGGAATTACACTTACACATATCTTAGGCTGTCTGATATTGCCCCATAACTCTTGGGTGTTCTGTTCTGCTCCATCCACACTCTTTTTTCTCTTTGTGTTTCAATTTGGGAAATTTCTATTGACCTACCTTGAGGTTCACAGATTTTTTCCTCAGCTGTGTAAAGTCTACAGATCAGGCCCTCAAAGTCATTCTTTATCTGTATTGTTTTTTCATTTCTAGCATTTCCATTTGACTCTTTCTTTTAGATTTCTTCTCTCTGCTGACATTAACCATCAAATCCTGCATGGTATCTACCTTTTCTATTACAGTCTTCAACTTATTAATCAGTTATTTTAAATTCCACATCTGATAGCTTCAACACCTGTGTCATATCTGAGTCTTGTTCTGTCAACTGCTTTGTCTCTTGTCAGTGTTAGTTTTTTCTTGTCTTTTCTTATTCTGAAAGTTTTTTGTTGAAAGCCAGCCATCTTGAGTAGTACATCGTTTTGATTCCTGGAACTAAGCATGCCTTCCTTTTTGCCAGGTCTTTGGTATGGGGTTTGGATCAGTCTAGTTGGGACTTGAGCTGGGCTTTGATTTTGTTGCTGCTCTGGTTACCCTTAGTGCACTCAACCTTCACATTCCTCTAGTCGTATCTTTGCGTTTATGGTGGGCTGGTTTTTCTCACTGTCTGCTACACCCCTTGTGCTGCACCTTGGCGAAGTTCTCTCTCCAAACTCTTGTCCCCTTTCTAGCAGTAGCCTGCTGTGACTCACAGCTTGCTAGCCTGGGTGTGGGAGGGGGAGCCGGGAAGGGTAATGTTTCTATTATTCTGATTAAGCCTCTGTCTTAGGCAGACACTGTGTCCCTGGACCTGAGGGGAGGGGGTGACCTCCCCCAGCTGTCGTTCTGGGCTCAGCACATATTCCCGCCCCTCCCCCAGGGGAAAAGAAGTTTATTCCCTATTTCCTCCCCCTACCCCAGCCTTTATTGGAGAAAGACTCCAGTGCCCTAAGGCCACAGTGTGTGTTGCCCTGCCCTCTGCAATTTCTTCCTTACTATAGATGGGAAAGATCTGTGCAGATACTTCCTCAGAGTTCTTGCCAGTCTTTTTGTGAGCACCAGGTTAGGTCCCGTGGAAGAGGGCCTGCAAGTGCATGTGAATTTCCCTTATATCTGTGGGCCCCAGAGTTCTATATTCTTTCGTAGGCTATACCCTTCTTTTACCAGTTTGTTAATTGTAGCTGAATTCTTCTTAGTGGGGTCCCACTGGGGCTGCCCCATTAAGCTCATGTCATCTCTCCTCAAGCACCTGTATTTCGTTAGATTTTTGGCTAGCCAGTTGCCCTGTGACTTCAGCTCTCTGATGGGTTAAAGGACAGTTGTGAATCTGCAGTTTGTCTGGCTTATTGTTGTTATAATGGGACGCTGCTCTCCCAGCTTTTTACATCCCAAACAGAAACCAGAAGTCTCCATTCTTTCCTGGAAAATAAGTACTGAAAGGCTAGTTTGAGATGGTGCCTATAAGTTTCTAGGTTAAAAGATAAGAGAGAGCTTTTTCAAAGAGGAAAAAAAAAAAAGTTTGCAGGCTTATTTTGAAAAGCATTTGCTGTTCTTGACATGTGCCACCAGAGGGCAAGCGGCCACATCACTACACCTCTCACTGGGGGAGGCACGTTTCCAACAGGGAAAAGTAAATGTGTCAACTGAGAGGCAGAGGCGTCCACAGTAACTGATGCTCACAGGAGGACCTGTTCTCAAGGTCTCCCTGGCCTGTGCAGCTATGGGTCAGGCTCTTGGGCCCTGCGGCCCCAGCCCTCACTCACGGGCCACAGCTGTCCCCTCTGCAGACAGCATGCCTTCCTTCAGCCCCCAGAGCCTCTCAGTTCCTGGCCTTCACCCCACCAAGATCCAGGCTGCGAGCCTGCCAGGCCCCTGCTGGGTCGTCAAGCTCTAGCTCCTTCAGGTGGTTCCATTCTTCCCTCAGTGGAGCGGGGACAGTCCAGGGAGTCAGTTCCAGCCAGCTGTTGAGGGTAGGAATCCAGGAGCCCTGTGGAAAGGAGGTAAGGCTGAGGGGGCATGGGGCTTTCCTACTTTAGTTGGCTTATCTGAAACAAATAAACAAAAATCATAGTGGTTTAACACAACAGAAGTTTGGTTCTCACGCAAATAAAGTCTAAAACAGGCGTTCCTGATTGGCAGGCAGATCCTCTCCAAGTGGGGAGTCAGGAGCCCCCTGCTGTGGTCTTGTGGCCCCGCCATCTTCAGCAGGCACCATGATGGGGAGAGGTGTGGGGGAGGAGTCCCGCCTACCCCCAACCACATCACCTAGCACTTCTCACAGCGCTTCTGCTCACATCCCACATCCCACCGGTGCAACTAGGCACCTGTTCCCTCCTAATGCTGGGGGCTAGGAAATGTTCCTGGAGCTGGGCAGATGCCTCCCCACAGCATCCCTCTAGGAAGGGGAAGGGAGTGGACAGCCAGACCCGAAATTGCTCAAGTTGCACCCACAGAAACTGCTTCTAACAGATTATTGTTCTAGAACAATAGTTTCCTGACTTGCCTGACTTTAAGAACCATGGGGGATGCTTATTTAAAATATAGTCCTTGGGTCCTTTTCCTGGACACTCTGGCTTGGCCATCTGTGTGGGGGCCTGGAATTGGCACTTTTACCAAGCACTCCAGGGAGGTGAGCTGCCCTAGCAGTGTCTATGGAGGGAGCCTCTACTGCCCCGCCCCCACCCTATGGGTAGGAAACCGGGCCAACCCTCTCTCTGTTGGCGCGGTGACTCATGGAACTAGGGGACAGGCTCCCGCGCATAGCCCAAAGGAAGCCTGTCCTGAGCCAGCCCTGCAGCCCTCCCTGGGTGTGTCTACCCTGCAGCTCAGCCATGGAAGGATGGCCTGTGTGTCATGGCCACATCAAGGCAGAACCCAGCGGCTTTCAGCCAAGGCAGACAGAGCTGCCCCTGACCTCCCAAACCAGAGCACAGTGCCGCCCAGTCCCCAGCCAGATTAAAAATGAAAGACTTGGAGCAATGCTATGTTTCCCTTTTATGGGAGGAGGGGGGATTATTTGTGCCCACATTTTCTCTTCAGCAACACTAGAGGGCAGCATTGAATCAATTTTTCCAACTTATTAGAAAATCAACTATTAATGGCATTAAATCTTAGATTTTATTATTTGCCTTTTTGTTCTTGCCATGACACCCTGGCCATGAATCATGGGGAAATGACACCCAGCTTATGGCCAGCACCTGGAGGTGGCGGAGAGAGGAGGAGGCAGACCCAGAATAGGAGCAAGGCCCCCAGCAGAGTGGAGTGGCACCTGGGGGCTCACTGCCCCTAAAGACAGGGCTCTTGGTGCCAGAGGAAAGCAGCCTGCAAGAGGCACCGCGTGCCTCCATCAGGGCCAGGCACCATCTGGCCAGCAGGGTGGGAGCAGCAGAGAGGCACTCCTGTTGTGTGCGGTGATTTGCATTGGAGTGGGGCAAGGAATGGGCCTGAAACAGGGGCCCTCCTGCCCCACAACTGTCAGCTCTCAGCCCACTTCCCCATCTATAAGGGAAGCCCACCACATCTGCTTCCCAGGCTGGTGGGACCACAGAGTCAAGAGCCCCTGGTGGAGGCCCCAGCAGAGTCTGAGTGTAACTCCCTGCCCTGCACTCATGTGTGGCCGTCCCCAGCGTTTGGGTGGCCGGGTCCCCATGCAGCACTCCTTTCTCTCCCCACCAGCCAGCCACGGGCAGGACGCCAGGAAGCTGGGCTCCAGCAAACAAAGCCGCTGGCCTGGCCAGAGCTCCTGGCTATGCTGCCCTGCTGGGGTGTGACTCTGAGTGGGGCCTGCAGGGGGGCTAAGTGGGCCCCCACAGGGAGACTGCTGCTCAGAAGGCAGAATTGGGGACACTGCCTCCCCTTCTTCCTGCTCCTCCTCCCTGACAACAGGAGTCGGCTGTGTCAAAAAGGGAGCTGTTCTCCCTGGGTCCTGCAGCAGCTCAGAAACTCCTAGCAGATCCCAGACAAGCCTGTAAACACCCCGCTCAGCCCCAGCCTTTCTGGGGTGGGCCAGGACTGCCCCCCGGGGCTGTGTTTCACTCAGGAGGGTTTGTGATGAGTCAGTACCTCCATGAAATGAGGGGCTTGTCTCTCCCCTCTGCAATCTCCACCTACATGTTTCCTCCTCACAGGCTTTCCTGCCCACCCTACAAAGGCATCCACCCTTCCCCTGAGCCAGGGCACTTATCACTACCTGACATGATGAGGTGCTTGCTACCTGCTTATCCCATCCCAGCAGAGAATGTGAGCCCCCCGTGGGCAGGCGCCAGAGGTCCATGGTCCTCCACTAATACAGACTTGTGGAATGAAACCACAAATAAGCAGATGACAGGCAGCCCTCAGTCCCTCACCTGCACACTCAGCCCTGCTGTGGGAGGAGAGGGGAGGGCCTGGCCCCAGGCCACCCAAGAGGTGACCTTGCACAGTGTGCTGAGCCCAGTGGGTCCTTCCTCAGAAATAACAGAAGCAGTAATAGCTTTTTTGTCTGCTGCCCATAGGGGTACCTGCGTTCTAAGGGACCCAAATCTTTCACAGAGTCCAAGTGATGTCTCCAACTGTTCTTCAATGCCCACAATAAATATATTTTTTAAACTATCAGTAGTGTTTTGAAACCTATGGTCTTAATGCTCCTGCTGGCACAGATGTTCTGTGTATGTATCTCCATTCGGATTCCTCAATCACGAGACACCTGGTCTTGGAATTCTCTTTCCTGTCCTCCTGGGGGGTGCAGGGTCTTTGAGCCTCCCAGCCCGCTGGTGGGCCACCTGGCACCGCGTGTCTCTCTTCTGTTCCAGCCGTGATCCCCCTGACCGATTCAGAGCACAAGCTGCTGCCTCTGCACTTTGCGGTGGACCCTGGGAAGGACTGGGAGTGGGGGAAGGACGACAACGATAACGCCCGGCTGGCCCAGTAAGACCCTCCCTGTGCCCCCTCCCCCAGCGTCCTACAGGCCCGGCTGTGGTTGGCTTTCTGGGGAGGGGCTGGGACGCCCCTGCTCCTGGGACAGCTGCTTGCCTGCGGGCAGGCGGGCGCGGGCCAGCTGGGGCGCGTTTCACTTGGTGTTCCTCTCTCGCCAGCCTGATCCTGTCACTAGAAGCCAAGCTGAACCTTCTGCACAGTTATATGAATGTGACGTGGATCCGGATCCCCTCCGAGACCAGGGTGAGCCAGGCGTGCGCCGGAACCCGACGTGGGGCGTGGCGGCTCACTCGGCGCCCGCCGGGCGGGCTGAGGTCCATCCTCCCAAACACTCTGCCGCGCCCGCAGCCCGGGGGGGCCCCCATGCCCGCGCCCCAGCCGTGCACGCGGCCTGGCCACCCTGGCTCTGGCTTGAAGCAGCTCGGGTTTCCCTGGTGTCTGTGTGCGCGCTTGCATGCCTGCTGCGTGCGTGTGTGCTTGCGTGTCTGTACATAGGCGCGCTCCAGCTAGGGGATTTTTGGGTCCCCTTATTTTCTCCAGAAGGAGAGGAATAAACACACCCACTCAGAATAACAAACCGTAGGCAAGTCACAACATAAAACTCTCTCTGCGGAGATCGGAACACGATGTGCAGCCGTGGAGCGGAATTAATTATAAACTCTGTGTGGGTCCTTGCAAAAGCCAGGGAACCGAGAGCGTATTCCTCAGCGCCCCCTCCTTCCCGAAAGGCATAAGGACACCTCCCCCAGGGAGGGTCTGTGCCGTCTCAGCTTCCAGATGCTGAGAAGGATCACTCTAAGTATCTGCCTGATTCATGTTTCTGTGATCTCAGTAGTGAACTCCCAGGCAAAGAGATTTATTTTTTTAAAAAATGTTTACAAATGATTGGTCCTCCTCAGACATCAGCTTACTCAGCCATGAAGTATTGGCAGAAGGCATATTAAAGGAGTGATGTGAGGAGAGCAACAGGATGGTGCCTGGCACACAATCAGGACCCACAACACAAGGGCACTGCTCTGAGTGCTCTCATGCTTCTGCCTGGACTTATATTTACTCTTCATAGGGCTGCACCAGGCAGGCAGTGACACTCCATTTTACTGATGGCACAAGTGACAGTCCTCGGTGTCAGACTGGCTCCCAAGTCCTGCCTCTAAACCTCCACATTGACCTGCCTGAACTGCCTGGAGCATGCCACCATGTTGCTGGGGTGGGAAGGCAGCAGCTCTAGGTCTAGAATCAGGAGGCTCTTGGGCTAGGACACAGCTCTGCCTTGCAATGAGCAGGACCCCATGCCAGCCCTTGGTGGCCTCCACATCAGATGCAGGGCCCTGAGCAGACAACCCTGGCAAGAGCCCTTCCAGCTGGAGAGCACTGGAGCCAGGCCTCTGCACTGTCTCTAACAGGCAGCACCAAGCACACCTCCCTTCCCTGAGCCAAATCCCTGAACATCTGCCCTCTCATGTTCCTAACTGGTTTCAGATCTCTAGCTCCTTCCAGACCCAGGACAAGGTGGGAAGGGGAAGAAAGGAATTTCAGACTGTAAGGTGGTGAGGGCTGGTTCTACCCACCCTTGCTTCTGGATGACCTGGTTGCAGGAGTTTCACCCCTCTCTGGGACCTGCCTGGGGAGGGGGGCCCAAAAATAAAGTTGGGGAACAATGGGTCTTCCCCCTGGGCTCCTCCTCTAAAGGCCAGGAAAGCCCGGTCAGGCATGAGCACCAGTTCCTGCCAGACCCAGCTGCTGGGTGAGGTCCCAGTGATGCTCTGTCAGAATTCTCTCTCCTCCCCCAGGAAGGAACCTCCTCAGAGCAGCAGTAGGTGTCGTCCACCCTCTGCACCCTCTCGTCTCCTTTCTCAGCTCTCCACCTAGCCCTGCACTGACCCTGGCCATGTTCCAGTATGGCCTTGCCCTGCTGACTAGCTGACAGTGGGCCTTTGCCACAGTGTTCACAGACATGCTCCCACAGTCCTCCCCACCGCCCAATTCAGGAGGCCTTCTCTGGGAATGGTAACATCTTTCCTGCTGAGCTCAGGTCCTATTTCAGAATTCTTCTCCATTTTGGAATCCACACGGCCAATGTGAGAAAGGAACCCCTAGAGTAAAGTCCGTGGTCGTCACTGAATGGAGGAGGTGTTTGTTCCAAGACCCAAATAATGACGTTCTGAGGGCAAAGTGTCTACCCCCTGCTTGGAGTGAATAGGTGAGATACCTTTGTAGGAGAGACACCCGACAGGTGCAGGTGAAGTGTCATGCTCACCTGAAAGCCTCTGCCTCTATGAAGAGGCCAGCCTGGAACCTGTGTCTGGTCAGGCAGCAGCCTCGCTGGGGACGGAAGGCCAGAGTCTGGACATGGTAATTCTAAAATGAGCGGAGACTCGGGGGCTCAAAGCCAGGTGGGTATCTGTACCTTGCCCATACTCCCTGTCTCAGGGTTCCAGTCTGCCAGCAACCTGAGTTCACCAAAAAGGCAATCAGGACTGAGATGATGAGGCCTGAGGGCCCCAACCTAGCAACACGTGGGGGGATGGGAGATAGGGTGTTTCATCGGTCTCGTGTAGGGCCAGCTCTTCTCTTACGTCCTTTGTTTCCCGCCCTTGCTCTCCCCCTACAGGCCCCTCTGGCGCAGCCGGAGTCCCCAACAGCCTCCGCGGGGGAGGACGTGCAGTCCCTGGCCGACTCGCTGGACTCGGACCGCGACTCGGTGTGCAGCAATTCCAACAGCAATAATGGCAAGAACGGGAAAGACAAGGAGAAGGAGAAGCAGCGCAAGGAGAAGGACAAGACCCGCGCGGACTCCGTGGCCAACAAGCTGGGCAGCTTCAGCAAGACGCTGGGCATCAAGCTGAAGAAAAACATGGGCGGCCTCGGCGGCCTGGTGCACGGCAAGATGGGCCGCGCCAACTCCGCCAACGGCAAGAACGGCGATGGGCCCGAGCGCGGCAAAGAGAAGAAGGCCAAGTCGCGCAAGGGCAGCAAGGAGGAGTCGGGCGCGTCGGCGAGCACGTCGCCCTCGGAAAAGACCACGCCGTCGCCCACGGACAAGGCGGCGGGAGCGTCGCCGGCCGACAAGGGCGGCGGGCCGCGGAGCGACGCCTGGAAGTACAGCACGGACGTCAAGCTGAGCCTCAACATCCTGCGCGCCGCCATGCAGGGCGAGCGCAAGTTCATCTTCGCCGGCCTGCTGCTCACCAGCCACCGGCACCAGTTCCACGAGGAGATGATCGGTTACTACCTGACCAGCGCGCAGGAGCGCTTCAGCGCGGAGCAGGAGCAGCGGCGCCGCGATGCCGCCGCCGCCTCCACGGCCAAGCGGCCGCCGCGCAGGCCGGAGGCCGAGG